GGGGGGGGTGGGCAGAGAACACCTATACACCTATAATCCCCTCCATTCAGGAGTTCTGAAGTGGGAGGATCCTGAGTTCAAAGCCAGCCCTGTAACAGGCGTCTGGTTTTTTTTTTTTTCTTTTTTTTTTTAAATTCCTGCTGTTGTTTTTGTGTGTGTGTGGGGGCAAATCAATGGAAGGGGGAAAAGTGATTAAACTCAGAGGCACTTGACCACTGAACCATATCATGTTTAATTATTTATTTAACAAATTGTGTAAAACATTTATTACATAACAATGACTGCACTCAAAGGAATATTTAAGCACTTAAAACTGTATTATGGTCCTACAATTTTTTAAAATATGTATCGTTTTAGTTGTAGGTGGACACAATACCTTTATTTATCTTTATGTGGTGCTGATGATTGAACCCAGCCAATGCCTCACACATGCCATATGAGCACTCTACCACTCAGCCCCAGCCCTCGTTTATTTATTTATTTATGTGTGTGTGTGTGTGTGTGTGTTGGGGATCAAACCCAGGGCCTTGTACATGCAAGGCAAGCACTCTACTGAGATGTATCCCCAGCCTGCTCTACAATTTTTAAAAATGTTAACGGGGTTAGGTTTATGTACTTTTAAAGTAAAACCCATTACACAATTGACCACTTGAAAGCGTACAATTCAGTGGCATTCAGTGCGTTTATAAGGATACACAACCACCAACTGTCTCTAGGCAGATCCGTTGTGATACCTCAGAAGAACTCACTACACCTTGATCTACTCCTCTGCCCGCTCCCCAATTCCCTGGCAACCACTAATTTGCTGTCTGCAGAATGTTTCATACAAAAGAACTTGTACAGGGCTTGACTTCTGGCTTCTGGTTCCTGGCTTCTCCACTTAGCATGTCCCACGGTCTGTCCCTGGTGCAGCATGCATGAGTACTCCTGTCCTTGTTATGGCTCAATATTCTTCCGTTATGTGTATTATTCTTGCACTCATCTGTTTCCACTTTTTGGCTACTATGATTAGTGCCACTATGAATATTTATGTTCCACTATTTGCCTGAGAACCTGTTTCAATTCTTTCATGTATACATCTAGCAGCTCAATTGCTGGGTCAGATGATAATTCTATATTTATATAGATAATGCTGTATATCTGAGGATGTGTCAAACTTTTTCCCAATGGCTTCACCATTTTACACGTTCATCACCAATGTGCCATGTGTATCTCCACACCTCACCTCTATTCTCTGCTTTCCAGATCTGTTTACTACAGGTAATCTGCTGGGTGTGTGGTAGCTGGATTGTCTTTTGTTATCAAGTCATATGAGTTCTTTATGTATTGATAGTACATCCTTATTAGACACGTGATGATGCAAATATCTTCATTCTATAGGCTCTTTTCATTGATAATGTCCTTTCATGTATAAAAGCCTTTAATTTTGATAAAGTCCAATTTATTTAAAGAACACATTTTCTGAACTTATTCTTCTTTTGTTTGTTTTTGCTACTGAAGATTAAACCCAAGGGCCACATCCTCAGTCCTTTTGTTTGTTATTGTGAGACCAAGTCTCCTTAAGTTGCTGAGAGTACAGGCATGTGCCACACACTCAGCCGATGATTATTATTTTTTTAAAATATAGCTCCTAGAGTTCTGGTCAACTGGAAGGCCTAGAGTGGGGATATTTCAATAGCAAGAAACATTATGAGTACCCCAATTCTGGTTTCTAAATAGCATTGCCACTAATTAAGAGACCCATGCTCTTCGGAGAAGTGGCCAATTGTTGGCTTCCAACACTGAAATAACTCTACTGACCAAATTTACCAATATTTCAGCCTCAAACAGAATGGTCAGAAATGACTGTGACTAAATATATAAAAATCCATGAGTCAAAATGGTGCTTTCAATGAAGGGTGGGCAGAGAAGTATCTGACATCACTGTAGGTTGATGATTAAAGGAAAACAACTAAGCACTCATCCTGCCTTTCCATAGAAACTCCATGTCTGATCACCAAACAGCTCTAGCCAATGAGGAACAGATATTTACAGGACACTGAAGTCAACAAATGAGAAAAAAACAGAAAAACTGCCATTCAGAAAACCTTAAACAAGTAGATTCAAGAAAGGGACACCAACAGATGCTCAAGTGTTGAAGAGGAAGGTTAACAAGGAATGGCACATTCATATGACGCCAAACTATGGCTCTCAGATTATATTTTCTAGCTGTGTTAAAAGGCAAATTACTTAGATGAATTAAAATTTAGTTGCATTTACTGGAGCAAAGCAAAACAGACCCCAGTGTGACTCGGGCAGCTTCCAGAACCAGAGCAAGTTCTGAGAACTCTGACCAGCAGGTGATCATATGACACTTATGGGGAAATGGAGGAGTCACAAAACACTTCAAGGAGCCACCGGGTAGCTGACCATTCATCTGTTCACAGTTTACACAGTTGGTTGGCTCCAGGCCTCCTACAACCAACCAACACTCAGTTCCTATGATTAAACCACACAGGTATGGGCTGTGGTCCAGGGCAGGTGCTCGACCCAAACTGAGCTTCCTGGCTCCTCCACTACTTTCACACACACCCCACCCCCCCTCAGATCTGCTCTCCGAATGCTCCCTCTATTGCACCTCGGGCACTGCTTTTCAGTTAAACAGAAACCTAAGAGTCATCTCAGCTCACACGCAGGAGATCAGCAAACTGAGTAGCTGAAATGTTTCTAAAACTCACCCTCTGCATTCCCAATCTTAGTTAAGACCCATACCATCTCTTACCTGGACCCCTACCTGGCCTCTCTACCTGTTCCTCTTCCCTCAGATATACACTCCCAGTCACTGCTCTGGAAGCTCCTCTCCTCAGCAGGCAGGGCACACGGGCACTGGTTCAGCTGCCCACTACCTACCTCTAATCTTACATCTAACTACTATCACAACCCCTCATGCACCACTCAGACAGCACTTCATCACCCACCCTTCAGAATGTTTTCCTGGCTCCTCTAATTTATGTTCCATGCTAACACCTTATACCTAAAGTTCACTCCCATTGGAACGCCTCCTCTAGCCTAACTCATACCCCAGCTGGCTAATACCTCTCGTGACAAGACTTGGTGGCTTCCTTCTAAACTTTTAGAGATAATCATACCCTCCACTGTGATGTCTCAGACCTTGTACACATATATACTGCTGCTCTTACCTATCCAGTATTTGCTCAAGGTCAGTTCCCCCCAGTAATTTTGTATTCATTGAGATCAGCATCTAATGTCTTAAGTTTTATAAACCTAGTACCAACCCAACATACCCTTATACCTCAATACAAATATGTAATACATTATACCTCAAGTATGTGTTGTATGCACTAAGTGAAGTTTGAGCTTTTCTTCATCTCCTCACAGTGTTTCCATTTTCTGAGAGTATCCCAGGACCACAGTCATGACTCAGTCTATGGAAATCAGTCAGCTGGAATTTGAAAAGCTGAACCCTCCTATCCAAAGGCCGGATGAGTGAAGTCATCAAGACCTGGGGAAGGCATTTCATAAATCCATGCCAATTCAAGAGTGTCCAGCTGAGATTAGAACATGTACTCAATTTTGTCTCTTTCTAACCCCTCTTCCCTCTGTGAGAATATGCTTATTTTTCTTTTTCTTGGTGGGGGAGGGGGGTAATTGGGGGTTGAACCCAGGGGCATTTCACCAGTGAGCTACATCTCCAGCCCTTTTTATATTTATTATTTTGAAACAGTCACACTAAAATGCTGAGGCTGGCTTTGAACTTGCAATCCTCCTGCCTCAGCCTCCCAAGTCATTGGGATAACAAGCGTGTGTTACCAGGCCCAGCTATATTATTTTTGAAATGCCCCTTATTTAGCATCTTTTATGAAGTAAAACATTCTCTCCCTCCCTCTTAGCCAAACAAGCATTACTTGTCTTCTAATTCACATATGGCTCCGATACTTTGTAAGCCAGTTGGTCTACAGAGACCATCCCATCTCTGTCCTACTGGCACTTTCTTGAATTACAAATTCAATGATAAATAACTATGGCAGGGGACAAAACACTCTCTGGTCACAAGTCAGACAGTATGAAAGCCTATTGCTCGCCAACAGCTGACTCTAAAGCTAGAAAACTTTCAACAAACCCCAGATTTAATTACAACTGAAAGGAAACCTTGGAGTACAAAGGAGGAACCTGAAGAAAATCTTGGATAACGACAGTACTGAGTCAGATCCTTTCTGATCACCCCAACCTAGGTGTGACCACTCTAACCTCTGAATTCCTTCCTATAACCATATGTGTGGTATCCACTCCAGACTTTTTTTTTTTTAGGTACCAGAATTGAACCCCATGGTACTTAACCACTGAGCCACATCTCCAGTGCCTTTTATCTTTAATTTTGAGTCAGGGTCTTGCTAACTTGCTGAGGCTAACTTTGAACTCACTATCCTCCTGCTTCAGCCTCCGGAGTCATGGGGATTACAGGCGTGCACTACCACATCCGGCTCAAACTTGTTCTTTTTTTTTTTTTAATATTTATTTATTTATTTTTAGTTGTAGTTGGACACAATTTGTTTTTATGTGGTGCTGAGGATCAAACCCAGGGCCACTGAGCCACAATGCCAGCCCTCAAACTTGTTCTTGAAGGGACTATTACTGGCCAGATATTAGTGTCTCCGGCCTATTTCATCTTCACAACTCTCCTTTGGGAAGCAGCATGGACAGTATGACAGATAAACTTACTAGAAGATGCTTGGTGCAGTGCTTTGAGCTGGTAGTGCAGGGAGGGCGGATTCTTCACCTGTGCTACAGCCCTGCTACTCAAAACAGCCCTGAGGTCAGCATCACCTGGACGCTAGTTAGACCTGCTGAGTCAACCGTGAACTCTGATCCCTACTGACGAGCATCCATGCCAGGTTAAGAAGCACCATCTACAACCCCCAGACTTGTCCATGATGCAAAGGCCCTGAAATTCATATTGTCTTTGAGACAGGATCCTCACTGTGTTGCCCAGGCTGGCCTCCAACTTACCAGCTGGAGCGAACCCTTCGGCATCAGCTTCCTGAGTAGCTGGGACTCCTGAGTAGCCATCACCACACTGCGCTTCAAATTCTTTATTTTATAAATGATCTTACCTAGTCAATTTTGCTCCCTGGTCAAATAAAATCAGAGGAACATAAATGAAACCAAAGTGGAGCTGGGGTTGTGGCTCAGTGGGAGAGCGCTTGCCTAGCGTATGTGAGGCACTGGGTTCGACTCTCAGCACCACATACAAACAAATAAAATAAAAAGTTTCATCAACTAATAAAATATTTAAAGAAATAAAATAAATGAAACCAAAGTGTGTAAAACCACTTCACAAACTGGAAGACACAGTGCAGACACACGCTTTGTGCTGCGCTCATACTGGGATCTCGCTGCAGCGGTGTGTTTCGATGGCAGGGAGGGACCATCACCTGCAGAGTGTGGCCTCAGCTCGGCCATTCACGAACGAAGGTGCGAGCTGGGGAAACGGTCGCCCCGCTGCACGCAACTCGTCCGACCCCGGCTGTCACATGGCAGTTCTCGCGGCTGGGACCCGTGCCTGCGGCCGGGACCCGTGCCCGCGGCCTCCCAACGGGGAAGCTGAGCCACTCGGAACCGCAGGCCCGGGCGCGAAGTCGCCGCACCTGCCGGGGCTGCTTAGGTGACACTACTTCTCCAGGGCTGGGGTCTCCTGGTCACCGGGAAGGCTGGCGTCGTGCGGCGGTGCCTCGCAAACGGTGGCGCGGACACCAAGCAGCGGGGCCGCTCGCGGAGGGCGCCGCGGGATGGCCGTGGAGGGCAGCGCGACGCGTCGGGCGGCCCCGAGGGGCGGGCGGCCCCAAGCCCGCGTCCTCCGACC